TATAGGCAACAGGAAGTGAACAGAGCACCACACTAGGCTCAGCTTGAGCATATAAGACCTCAAAGCCTGCCCCCACAGGAACACACTTCGTCCAACAAGGCCACACTTTTTTGATATCACTCCCTGTGGGGACCATTTTCTTTCAAACCACCACAATGTGTATGAGTGTTTTGCCTGTGTGTGTGTGTGTGTGTGTGTGTGTGACACCATATGTATGCCTGGTGTCAGCTGAAGTCACAAGTATCGGCATCGTGCCCCTTGAAGCTGAAATTATGAATGGTTATTGGCCACCGTGCAAGTGCTGGAAACCAAACCAGAATCCTGGGCAAGAACATGTGCTCTTATCTGCGGAACCATCTCTCCAGCCCCTAAGAGACACTCTTTACATCTGCATAGAAACCCCTGGTCACACATAAACAAAAAAGGCAGATAAACATTTCTACATACACAAAAGACAGACCCATCTCACATCTCACACCAGAACCTTAATATTATGCAAGGGCATAAAGCATTAACACAAACTAAATACTCGCTTTGGTCCAGAAAAATGCACAGAACAAATGTCAGATATTTTTATACAGAAAGATACAGGAGCTGGAGGTGTGGTTGCATGGTAGAGAGACTGCCCTGGCTTGTACAAGGGTCTGCGTTCAAGCCTCAGCACACACACACACACACACACACACACACACACACACACACACACACACACACACACACGAGGGGGGATGACAGAGAGACAGAGATAGCCAATACTATTTCACACCACACTTAGGCAGAAAAGTCCTATCTGATACTATGTATACAAATGAGAAAACCTAAGATTTCACTTCTTTAAGAGATTAATAGTTCTGCTGCAGCCATGTAGTCCTGGGGTGGGGGCTACAAGTTGGGTTGGTTTTATAGACACTTTATGGCTTCCACTTTGGAGCTTATAAAAGCTCTAGGAGTGGATGGGAAAGGGAAGAAGTGGACACCTGGGGGCCCTGTCTGTAGGGACCAACTAGAGCCCAGGTAACAGTGATCAGAGACCTCCCTCAAAAAGGATACAAAAGGTACACAGTCTAGCAATGGATGCCTTTCGTGGCGGTCAAGATGAAGCCAAAGTCAATTAGCTCGAGGCACCTGAGAGTCTCAATCCTGATATGCTAACACGGTCCCTGATGGGTGTGGGTATCTTACATGGTTTTCCTGCAGCTGGGTCCTGGTTAGATGAGTGAGGCACAGGTGAGTCATTGGGCAGATACAGGAGGGAGGCATGCCTTTGGAACCAGATAGGTCTGGGAGGCTCTACGCAGCTGTATGTGGGTGCCTGGCAGCCTCCATAGAGGAGTGGCCCACAGCTGAAGGGCTTGTTTTTCCTCCACCTTTGTTTTCCTAAGACACAGCCAGTCATTACCCAGATAACTGGGATAGACAGGTGGGGCCCTTGCCCTCACCATCCCCAACATTCTCTAGGAAGAGCAAACAAACACCAAATAAATAACCAGGCAGGGCTCCTCTGGTCTCAGAGAGTATTTATTTCTGGCAGTATCCCAGAAAAGGGGGCCTTGCTCCATGCTCTCATCATAGCAATTGCTTGATTTTTGACAAGATACCATTTGGGGAAAGACAAACAGGCCTGAGAAGCCCATCCTTAGTGTTGGTTTGAGATGCTAGAAGAAGTCTGAATTTGGCTTAAAAAGGAGGGAAAGACACTGAATATTCACCATGGCTAGGTTTCCCCGTGATTAGGGGGTTGGATGTTAAACCAGCCCCTGTCACACCTGCTGAGCAGCCTGCATCTGAGAATGTAGCAAGGTGGTCGGGATAGATGACACAGAGACCGGTCGGTTGCTTTAAGAAAACTTTATGCTCCCCAAGTCGGCTTAGGAGAACTCCCCAAGAAAAAACGCTTCCCTATTTAAGGACTTCTGCCATCCATATACACACAATTCTCCAACCGAGCTCTCACACACCTCTCACAGCTCTCACAGACTTCTCACCCTCCTGGCTGGTGGTTTAATCTCTGGCCCCAGAATCGGGGAGAAACAGCAGGGAGCAGGAAGAAGCATCTAGCCGTAGGGGGATCAAAGTCATGGTGTTTCAGTGAGCAAGCCCTTAACGGAGCCCTATCAAGAGCTTTATAGCACTGAATTGTTTTCAGTAAACATTATCTCGAAGTTGCCTGCTCCCAGGCCTAAGGGGAGGTGGGTCTCTGTTTAAGGTCTGGTGTCCCCACAAGCCCCTGAAGATCAAGACCAAGAAGATGCCAGACTTCCTTCATTGTCATCAGCATAACAAAGGTTTCACAATCCTCCTCTCCGGCCCTAGTCTCTGAGCCCTAACCACTGCCATTCTCCAATTCTACAAAAATGTTACATAAATATTGTGTTAGTTTATTTTTGGCTACTGTGATGAAATGTCCGAGTATGGGTCACCTTATAAGAAAAGAGATGTGCCTTGGTCCTGCCTCAGCGAGGTGATGGGACATACTTGGTTGACATCCTAGGGGAAGCTTTACCCTCTCTGAGGAGCAGATGGGAGTTGGGATGAGGAGAGGGAGGGGGAAACTGGGATTGGAATGTAGAAAATAAAAAATAAATTAATTAAAAAAAGAAAGAAAAAAGGTGTGTTTGGCATACAGTTTTGGAGGTTCAGGTGTTCGGTATAGCCATCACCTCAACTCTGGTGAGCATCTCAATGGTGAATGGTGTCACAATGGATGGGGCATTTCTTAGAGGGAATGATTACACTGGCAGACAGGAAGCCATGGTGAGGGGAGCCATAGTGAGTGTTGGAGGCTGAACTCAGTACCTTGCCCAGTCTAAACAACCATCCCATCGCTGAGCTAAGTCCCGGGCACCCAAGCTTGTCTTTTAAAATAATAATGTCAAGACTTAACTTAGTGGCCTGTGGAAATTGAAGAATTATGTGTTTTCCAAAAGCAGCACCCCAAAATACCTCAAGGTTCCTACTAGATCCCATCTTTTAAAGCCTCTTCCATGTCAACATCACCACTTTGAGAGAAACGGTTACAGCACAGGGACACTTGGAAACATACCCAGACCACACCAAACCATTGCAAATGGAGTCACTCCATATATAACCATAGGGCTGGCCTTTATCTCCTCACTCTGCATAATTAAGCAGGTTGCTGACTATATTTGCTCTTCATTTCTGAATAATATTCCATGGTGTAGTTTACTTGACTATTCACTGACTGAAAGACACCTGAGTGTTTATACTTTTTTGGTGATAACAAATAAAGCTGCTACAGGTTTTTATCTCTCATGGATAAATACTCATGGCAGCAATGACTGGGTTATGTGATAACTACGTTCTTAGTTTTTTTGTTTTGTTTTTTGTTTTTTTGGTTTTTTTGTTTTGTTTTGTTTTTACGAGACAGGGTTTCTCTGTATTGTTTTGGAGGCTGTCGGTCCAGCCCGGCCTCGAACTCACAAAGATCCGCCTGCCTCTGCCTCCCGAGTGCTGGGACTAAAGGTGTGCGCCACCACCGCCCGGCTACGTTCTTAGTTTTATGAGCAACTACCAACTCGTTTTCTACAGCCTTGACAACATTTAGTGTTGTCGGTTATTTTGTTTAGCACTCTAAAACGAAGTATGGCATTAGCTCCTTGTGGTTTTAATTAGCATCTTACTGATGGCTAATAAAGTTAGCCATTAATCCTTATTTGCCATCTGTTTATTCTCTTCAGTCTTTTGCCCATATTCTAACTGGGTTTGAAAAACACTATGTAGTAGTCCTTTGTTAGATATGTGGCTTGCAAATATTTTCTTCCCATCTGTGTGTAGAAAAGCCTCTTGATAGACACTGCATTAACCCTATAGGTCAGTTCAGAGAAAACTAGTATCAGCTAACATGCTGAGTTTTTCAGGATATGAGTAAGGTACACTTGTCCATTTCTGTAGGTCCTTGGTTTTTTTTTTATTAGTGTTGTGCAATTTTTAGCATATAAGTGCTATAACTGCTTTGTTAAGCTTATAGCTGAGTATTATCTTTGATGAGATCATGAATGTATTGTTTTTCATTTTGGTTTCTATGTTGTCCACACTGGCAGAATGTTTAGGAAGACAACAGCTGTTGACTGTGTACTGATCTTAACGCTTGGAGACCTCGTTGAACTCACCTACTCAGCACAAGAGCCCTAAGATAGAGGAAGGTTTGCTTAAACAGAGATGTGGCAATACAGGAAGTATTCATGGTGATGGCCTCATTTGGACATAGGTTATCAGAAGCTGGGGACAGACAGGGTTCCCGTCTAAGCTAGGACCCTGAACACTGAAGCCTGAACCACCCTCTCAGTCTCCTAGATAGAATGTCAGCATGTCAGAGTCCCCAGGCCAAGGCAGCTCCAGGTCGTGGGGGGAGAGTATGGGAGGCTGGGTCTTCGTGGAAGTGACTATGAACGGCAGACTGAGGGCAATCGGGGTGAAGAACACACAGCAAGCTTGTTCAGGCTGCGTGGTTGACAGGTGGTACCATCCAATACTGAAGATGAACAGCAGGAACACTGGAAACTGGAGGCTAGCCTGGGCTAGACCAGTGAGGCTCTGGCTCGAGCCTGGGCTATACCAGTGAGGCGACTCCGGCTCGAAAACCAAATTCCTAAGTCCCAGAACTGAACAAAAAGGACTAGTAATCTTGAGGGCAAGACCATAGGGATGTGTCTGAAGCAGAAAGAGCCTCTCCTCACTGAGAGAAACCCACCTCCTTCCCCTGCCTGGCCAGCTCCCCATCTCCCTCCACAACTCGGCCTGCCCCTGCCCCAACAGCTCTTCCCTCCTCCTCACTAGTCTGAACAGGAACTTTGGCCCACTGGGCTTCCCTAGGATTGGCCAGGTCAAACACAGTGGCAAAGATTACTCCTGTCAGCTGCTTCAGCCCCGGGTCAGGTGACTCCTAACTTCTTTGCCAGACCTCTCCTTTCTGATGACAGAAAGCAACTGCCCATACCTGAGTTGCAGCCCAGCCGTTCCCCAGGTGCAAAGGCAAATTAAGGAGCCTAGAAATGGAGTTTGAGGCTGCCTACCCACAGGCATGGGTGGTGTAGCCAGGAGAAGCCTTTCCTCGCCCTCCACCCCGCCTCTTCCTCCTCTAGGAGGAGTCTAGTGACTGTCCTGGATTGGAGGCGTTTGCAAAATTGATCCCGCTCCACTCCTCCTTGTTGGCCTCGGGCCTTTCCGTAGCTGCTGCTTGGGACCTCGAGAATTTGGGAGGAAACTTTCAAAAATGCAGACTTTGATGAAATAGAGACCCCCTTTCCGGCACCTACCACCGCGGATGAAGTTCCCGGTGCAGCCACACAGGGAACTTTTATCCCTCCGGTTTCCTCCTTGGCCTCTGTCGAAGAGTAACCCTGGCTTCTCCCAACCAATTTATCCTTCGGGGCGGGGATTAAGCAGATGATTCCGCCGGCCCTGTTCCTGGGACTCCCACCCACGCGCTGCGTTTTGCTGTGAAATGCAAGCGGGCGGCCTGCAGACACTGGGATGGTCAGGACTATGGGGGACAGAGCGGAAGCCAGGGACAGGCAGGGAACATCTGGGACCGCTGGAGACGAGCTGCCTGCTCCCCGCACCTATGCGCGCCGCTGGGTCTTCCTGCTGGTGGTCAGCCTCCTGAGCTGCTCCAACGCGATGGTACTCGAGCGCTGGGAAGGGCGGGGCGGGGTCCTAACAGCAGCCCCGGAGCTAGTTTGTTTTGCTCCTCGAGGTAAACCGGCCTTTCTTCTAGCTCTAGAGGTTGTGGAAGAAGAGGCAAGTGCCTGTCCCGCCTGGGAGGGACCAGCCGGGGAGGGGACAGGTCTGTTTCAAGGGTCTCAGCCGTGCAACTTGTTACTTTCTCATGCTCTCCCTAGCCCCCAAATGCTAATGTCAGGGGCCCACAGACACTCCTTCTTTATCCCATCAGGCATAGGTGGACTGTAGACGATCCTTTCTCCCTAGGCACAGGTCCACGGGCACTTGAGCCTAGGTGGAGAGAGAGCGTGGAACTGTTACCATATATCACTCAAGAGACAGACAACCCTGCACCTCTCTGGTGCTGGGTCTCCCTCGTACGTGTGAAAGAACTTTGGGTTGCATGTGGCTACCTCGCTGAATGGATAGCAATTTGGGCCATGCAGCTGTGAGTTGTAAGACATACAGCTCAGAGAGTGCCAAGTGAGTGTGGGTCCACGAGGAAGTGCAGCCCTTTGTGTAGACGGTGGCCAGGGCACTCCATGTGAAACAGCAATCGGTTGGCTTGCATCGCCCTTTCTTTTTTCCTGCTGCGCTGGTTGTGAAGAAGCCGCTTTGAGTGAAGGTAGGGGCGATACCTGCTACTGTAGCCGTATCAGAAACTTCTCTCCCGGTAGCTGCCTTTGCTAGCTGGGACTTGCCGCTATGGCTTGGCTCACAGGTCCCCCTTTCTAGCATTAGGAAACATAACCGGCTTGGGATGGATGGATGTCTGAGGATACACGCAGGAATCTACTTGAATCTCACCTTTTGTAGGTGTGGAAAGTGCCTGGGACACTTGTGTGGTGTCCTGCTGTCCTTATGGAGGAAACAGAATATTACCCTGATACTAGAAAATTGTCATGATCCAGGTTGGGTCCTCATTGTGACCAGTGAGTGGGCTTTATGTTCAGCCATGCTCCCTGGAATCCCTGGCTTATTTGTCTGTGGCTGTTGACTGGGTCCAGGGTTCTGAGAGAGCAGCCTGAGGGGCACAGGCATAGCAGAGCTTGCTGTGAGGCCAAGAGATGACCCTGAGAGAGCAGCTGACCCTGAGAGAGCAGCCTGAGGTGCGCAGGCATAGCAGAGCTTGCTGTGAGGCCAAGAGATGACCCTGCGGTTTGCATGGAAAGGAGGTCAGAGGGTGAGCCAGAGCAAGGCTGAGAGCTGGTTGAAAGCATTCTTGTACAGTAGGTGAGACAGATGGATTTTTTTTCTCCTCTCCACATCTGTTGCTTTACACATGCCTGAGCTATCTCTGCCCTCCTGTATGCGGGCCACAGCTCTGGGAGCAGCAAGGACAAACCTGTGAGACTTGCTAGATGGGTTCTTCGCCCCCCCCCCAGTACAGCAGGTTCTGAAAACTTACCTGGTCCCTGTCTGCTCTACAAAGCCAGGCAGGAGACGATTAGGCTTGCATGAAGTTCTTTCTACGCCTGGGGGATCTGTTCCTTGTATTGTTCTCTGAGGGAAAATAAAAAAAGAAGGAAATGCAACTGTTGCACAACCTTGGTGTTTGCTGAGGCTTTGAGGCTGGGAAGTCTGACACACTGTGTTCAGCTGTGGAGGGTGTGGCTTGGATCTGTGTCATCCTGAGTAGGGTTCATCAGGAACTTTGATTTGGGACACACCCTTGTTGGGGCCATATATCTATTCTCTCTGCTGGTCTAAGCTTGGGTGACCCTTTCTCTCCCCACACCTCCCCTTACTTCCTCCAGAAAAACTTGCTCCACTTTGCACTCTTCTGTTAGCTGGGTTTCAGAGTCCCTCTGCTTTGTAACGTCTAAGACAGACAGGAGGGTGTTGTGCAGGGAGAGATGTCATTTATTCCATCCCATCCCTAAAGAAGTCCTGGGCTCTGAACTCTTCTGTCTTGGCTTTTTTTTTTTTTTGGCCCCTCCTTGGTCCTCATGCATGTTCTGAGCCCCCAAGGTATCATGTAGCCATATCTGGATGTCTGGCGTGGAGTCTCCTCCACACTCCAGGCCTCGTAGTCTCCCCAAAATGTGTTCCTTGTCCATCTTGCCTCAGCACATTGCTCAACCATGAAATTTGGAACCATGGTTACCATTTGCCCTCACTCCTATATCTCCCCCTCCTACCCTGTGTGCTCCAATACTACATCCTTAAGTGCTATGACCCACTCAGTGTCCAGGAAATCCCACCCACTGAGATTCTGGCTTCTCTGTCTCTCATTCCACATAAGTCCCTCCTCTTCCCACTACCTTCAACACAGTGTCTCCCAGGCAGTAGCACCATCCCCACTGAGTGCCTTTAGCCCCCTCAGAGAACCAGACCGATCCTGATGAGATTAGTGGTCCTTCAGGCTCTGGCCAGGTTTTTGGCCTCTGTATCTGCTGGCTCATGGTCCACTGCTGGTCAGTCTGTGGGCCATGCCTGGCTGCTTTCCTGGATTGTAACGGGGTGAAGGTGGTTCTCTAGCAGGGTGATCCGAAGTTTCTATTAGGCTCCTGCTCCTACCCTGAGTTAGCCCCAAATGGGGATCCTAGGCTTCATCAAGAGCAGGGCTGGCGAGGTGGTGTCTGTGACCCATAGCTGACTAATGTGTATCCATATATAGCTGACTAATGTGTATCCATATATAGCTGACTAATGTGTATCCACAGTTATGGCTCAGTTTTGCACCTGTAGCAGACACCATCGCACAGCTCTACTTCCTGTCCATGGAACAGGTCAACTGGCTGTCACTGGTCTACCTTGTGGTATCCATCCCATTTGGCATGGCAGCCATCTGGGTTCTGGACTCTGTTGGGCTCCGTGGAGCAGTAAGTCAGATCTCATCCCATGCCTGTATGGGGAGGGTGGGACCCGTTGACTTAGAGTGCAGAAGCCTGGTCTCTTCTCCAGATTAGAGTCCACCAGCCCCACTGGCCATGCTCCTCAGGCAGAGCAGCTGGGGATGGCAAGCAGATATTGGGGTACCCCTATAAACTAGGGAGAGACAGCTGGAGATGTAGGTTGTAGAGGATCTAGACTGGCATGTAGTCTTTTGACTGTCCATTCCTGCAGACTGTCCTGGGTGCGTGGTTGAATTTTGCTGGGAGTTTGCTACGTGCTGTGCCCTGCTTGGATGTCAGGATCCCCAATCCCTTTGCCTTCTTCATGAGTGGCCAGAGCCTCTGTGCCCTGGCCCAGACCCTGGTCATCTCTTCTCCAGCCAAGCTGGCTGCCTTATGGTTTCCAGAGCACCAGCGAGCTACAGCTAACATGATTGGCACCATGTGTGAGTCCTGGGGGTGGGATCCCTGTAACCTGGGCTCAGTTCATAGACCCTGCTGGATGTGGTCCTCTGCTCCCCAACTTGGGCCAAAGGCCAAGGTGCCTGAGCTAGGAAGGATTCTCCCCCCAAGGGCTGGGGTGAGGCCTGCATCAGCTGAGCTTATATAGCTGTTTTTCTACCCAGCAAATCCTCTGGGCATCCTTGTGGCAAATGTGCTGTCTCCTGCCCTGGTCAAGAAGGCCGAGGACATCCCCATGATGGTGAGATGGCTCATGATGATCTTGCATGGTGACATGTGTGCTAATGTGAACTTGAGCTTGTACATATATGGTCATTGTGCTGGTGTGTGATCTATAGAAACACACACACACACACACACACACACACAGTATATATGCGTTCTTGTTGGTATGGCATGCCTGGGTGTGTTAGCATTTTATCTGCTTCTTATGTGGGGATAGGTCGGGAGCCTTGGGAAGTTGGGCTGGTGTTATCAAGGAGGGATTCATCCTCGAGTGTTATTCTGAAAGTGAGGTTCTACAGGAAGCCATGAAGAACAGCTGAGGGTGGAGAGATCCGGTCCCCTCCCCTCTCCTAAAGGAGTTGGGTTTGCTGATTCTGGAGATTAAAGACTAGTAAGGCAGACAAGAGCATCCTGAGACATGTGGGGGCACACATTGTCAGTGTGGCTTCTTTGTGACACTCAGAATCTTTCCCTAGCTTGGCATCTACATTGCCCCTGCTGCCCTTGCCTGTCTCTTGGCCACTACCTGTGTCTGGGAGAGTGTGCCTCCCAGCCCGCCATCTGCAGGGGCTGCCGGCTCTACTTCAGAGAGTTTCCTCCACGGCCTCAAACTGGTGGGTTGTATGGATTCTGCAGGGGGGCCGGGGGTGGGCAGGGAAGCTGTGGTCAGAAGCCTGCTTGGGCTCCTGCGTTGAGAGCTGTTTTCCCCTCTAGCTCATACAGAATAAGGCCTATGTTATCCTGGCCGTATGCTTTGGTGGTGGCATTGGTGTCTTCTCCAGCTTCTCAGCCCTGCTGGAACAGATCCTTTGTGCCAGTGGCTACTCCAATGTAAGTGGTAGCCCTTGCCTTTGGGGTGGGCTGTGCCTCTGCCAGGGTTTCCTGTTGCTCCTGAGCACTCAGTTCACCCCTGATAGGGATGAGATGGACAGCCTCTCACGGAGGTGACCGTCAATGGCTTCTTATACATCCCTGCGTCATGATACCTGTGTCAGAGTCTGCCTCCTGACAGAGTGGTGGGTGTAGGTCTCTCGTGGGTCATAGGCATGCATCCAGGGTTTTAGGGTGTCTGTGGTGATAATCCTTTCCCTTTAGTGGGGTTCACATTGCAGAAAAAAAATCCATCCTAGAAGGCAGCTTGACAAGGTTGTCTAGACTGGTCCTCTGGAACCGCCCTGGTGATGACACATGCTCTAAGGAGCCCTGTTGGCTCCCTGATGGTTCTAAGCTTGCCCTCCCCCACTTCCAGGAGTTCTCAGGCCTCTGTGGGGCCCTCTTCATCGTGTTTGGGATTCTGGGGGCACTGCTTCTGGGCCTGTATGTGGATCGGACCAAGCACTTCACTGAGGCTACCAAGATAGGCCTCTGTCTGACTTCCTTGACTTTCGTGGCCTTTGCTCTGGTGAGACTCATCAAGAACAGAGACCACCTACCCAGGATGGAGGGATACTATGGCAGGTGGGTGGGTGGGTGAGGCACAGAGGGTACCGTGGTGGCTTTTCCGAGAGCCGGTGCCTCAGCGTCAAGCCTGGCTTCTGCCTGAGGGTAACCCTGGGTAGGGCTGGATTTACTCCATGTTGCCCAGTCTAGGAACTCATAGGGGAGGGGCATGAGTCACAGCCATCCCGTTCCATTCTTCTCTTCCCCCTTTGCTGGTGCCAGGTGTCCCAGCTGCGGGGACAGACCTTGGCGTTGGCCGCCATCTGCTCCCTCCTCGGGCTCTTTGGCTTCTCAGTGGCACCTGTGGTCATGGAGCTGGCAGTTGAATGCTCGTTTCCTGTGGGTGAAGGTGCCTCTTCTGGCTTGATTTTTGTCCTGGGGTGAGTATCTTTCCGCACCGGCATGGACTCTTTCCCCTTGCGGCTCCTGATCCATGAAGCTGGGAACCTGCTTGCCCTGGCCAGGGATAAGCATGTGTACTAAGTACTTGCTGTTTGCAAGCCAAGCCTGTGCCGCTGCTGGGTCAGTGTGGACAGAGACAGCATGCCACCTCAGGAGTGACAGGTGTCGCAGAGGTCGCCCATAGATGTTTTTCCCTTCCCAAGATAGTGTTCAGTGTGGTGGGCAGAGAGTTTTGCTGCCCAGGCTGAGGGCCCTTTGTCTCTAGGCAGGCCGAAGGTGTGCTCATCATGCTGCTACTGACGGCACTGACTGTGCGGCGAACAGGTCCATCCTTTTCAACCTGCCAGCAGGGTGAGGAGCCGCTAGACTGGACAGGTGAGTGTCTGTGCCCAGGCTTTGGCTCCAGAGAGCTAAAACCAGACCAGGAAGATGGGGTGTTAGGAGGCCTGGCCCAGTTGAGGATCGTGATTCTTGTTGTTCTTTACTTGGTGTGGAGCAGTATGGTCAGATGCCTGGGCCCTCTTTGTGGGTGTAGCCCAAAGACCCTGACAAAAATCCAGCATCAGTATCCCCACCCCCGTGAGACATGTTTCAATATCCAGGAAAATAGAGACTGAGATCTTAGCTGGAAAGGCGACAGAGATCTTGGAGTGAATAGGAGAGAAAGAGACAGAGATGGAAAAGAGAAACACAGATATTTACATAGAAATAGAGACAGCACTCGGGAGGCAGAGGCAGGCGGATCTCTGTGAGTTCGAGGCCAGCCTGGTCTACAGAGTTCCAGGACAGCCTCCAAAACAATACAGAGAAACCCTGTCTCCAAAAACCAAAAAGAAAAAAGAAATAGAGACAGGAACAGGGAGAGACAGGGACACAAAGAATCTACCTGACCAGATGGGAGGGGTTGATCGGAGATAGGAATAGGGTCAGAGATACAAAAGATCCAGAGACAGGACGATTGAGAGAGGCAGAGATAAAGATTTGGAGATGAGAGCGGGTAGAGTTCAGTTGTAGTGCACACATGTCCCCATAACTTGGCGATTCCCAGTTGTTGGACCTGAACCTGGGAACATCCTGAGGGTTGAGACCCACGCCTGTTTCCAGACCTCTCTGTGGTCACCATCACTGGGGTCAGCTGGGTCAGGTCTACCGAGGCTTGGCTATGGTGGGAGATGGGAACTCCTTGACTGCCTGGGCAGTTGAGGGACAGGCCTCTGCTTGTGTTCTTAGAGTCCCTGCTGCTGCTGGCCGGCCTATGTACTCTTTTCACCTGTGTCTTGGTGCTCTTCTTCAACACTCCATATCGGCGCCTGGAGGCTGAGTCTGGAGGACCCTCTTCACCCAGAACATGTGTCAAGGAGCCAAGGATAATAAGCCCTACCCAAGTGCCACCCCTTGAGACTCCTGGCTTGACACCTCTAGCTGGGGCCTTGCAGGAGGCTCCTGGCCCTGCTTCTCTCCACAAAAGACACTCAGGATGGCCAGAGACATCTAGCAGAAGCTTCTAGCAGAAGCTTGCCAGGGTCTCTTTGACTGTGCCAGCCACGCTAAGAGCTCTGACAGGGACACAGAGTCCTTAGCATACCTAGAGCATGACGGGATGGCCTTTTTGTCCTCAGCTAGGCAGTGATTAATTGAAAATACTGGTCAGTTAGGGTGGACCCTGGCCAAGCCAGATTTGTAGTGGCTGCTGCAGGGAGGTCCTGTTTAGGGGCAGAGGGGGCGAGTGGGAGATTCCTGGCAGGAGACTGAGGGAGTTCTGAGGGCTGTGGCATGGCCAGTCTGAGATAGACAGGTGTAGGAAGATTTTTGTCTCAACTCTGTGACCAGACACTTAACCTGATTCTAGGATGGCACAGAAGGTGGTAAGCTTATCTGAGCAGAGTGGGGAGCAGAAGGATCTTAGGTTGACATACCCCCTCCAGTGAACACTCCGCAGGCAGGTTCGTGTGTTCAACTTTATTGAGCTGGTTGCAGATTGCAGCCTGAAGAATAGAGAAACTGCCTCCTCTGTGTGACAGAGTCTACAGCTCAGACCCTTGTAGTCCCAGCTACATCAATGAAGGCAAACTCCAGCACCTGAGTGAACCCGCGATGGGTAGGGTATTGCCGGGGACGTCAAGTTGGTGGTGGTAGGAAGGGGGAGAAACCAGTCTGCTGGGCTCCAGACCCAGACACAGTAAATTTCAGGCAATGAACTCCATTCGATGGGTTCCTGCTTCTCATTTGACCTGTTCAGGGGTGGAGAGGGACAGAGGGCCAAGGGTCAAGCCAGGGGAGGGGCTAGGGATGTGTGCTTGGTGGGGTCAGAAGAGGGATGGAGGAAGGGGGTGAGACAAAGGGGGGTGGGAGAAGTGAATGTGTAAGTAAGAGGGGTTTGGGGGGAGGGGATAGGATACTGGGAATAAAAAAAAATGAGGTGGTGATGGTGGGGAGTAAAATGGTCTAGACAAGCTGGGACCCGGACCTTTATTCCTGCCTCCGGGTTTGATACCTCTACTATTGAGCTGGCTAGCAGCAGAGTAGGCGGTGTATCCTTTTGGGGGAATGTTGCCCCTAGCTGCCCTCCGATATACTTGGAGTTGTAGAAACCATAGAGGTGGGCTTGGGGGTTGGGCAAACCTCATTTGCCGTCATCTTGCTGGCTTGAAACATCGGTAGACCTTCGATGCCGAGACTGGGAAAGGGATTGATTACGCTGCTCTGAGGAAGAGTGGGAAGTTCCTGCTTGTGGCTCCTCTCGTGGGAAGCCTGAGGATAGCCCGATGTGTGTACAACCTGTCCACCTGTCGTCAAAGCTCAGGTGCCCGACGGTCCCTGGGGCTCACGGTGACTCACAGTAGGTACCTGATGGAGTAAGAAGCACATGCCTGGGGGCACCAGAATGTTCCCTTCCCTAGTGCTGTGTGTAGGTAAGCTATCTGTGAAAGGGCTTAAGACAGCAATATAGGTGGGTAGACAATGACCCCCTGCGTAATGAAGGCCCAAACGGCAAGAATGACCTTTTTCTTAGCTGTTCCAAATGACTCTGCTCTTAGGGTCTCAGGGTGGCTGTTTGAAGCCCTGGAGGGGCTGGTGAGGTGGGTTTGGGATCAGGTGCTATGTCTGTTTTCAGGGTAAATATTCCCCAGGCCCCTAAGTCAGATTCAATATTCTTTGTGTATGCTGCCTCTGCCATCAAGGTTAAGCATCTTGAAGTCATTTAGGGTGGTCTCTGTGTTTGTGCCTGCTCACCAAAGGCTTTTAGAGTCCTGTCTTGTCCTAGAGCGTCAAGGGCTTAGTCTCGCTGTGCCATGGGGGGAGTCTTCCCTATTCCTGGGCCCCAAGGAACTCTGTGGATCCACATGTAGCTCTGGGTTCCATTTTGGGAACCAGGGCTCTGAGAGTGACAGAGACTACAGGTAGCTGGGTAGATGGGAGACTGTTGGGACTCACAGGTCTCTCAAGAGATGTCCCTACGACAGCTCGGACTTCTGGCTGCCACTTTGTGTAAGGTTGGCTGAGGGTTACCATCCCAGGGGACTGGAAACCACGGAGTGAACCTAGGTAGCCTGGAGGTGACACAGATAACCTCTCCCCCTAGCCCAGGCACTAGGAGGCTTTGTTCTGCTCAGGATGCATTTCCAAGGCCTTGTACCCCATTAATGGCCAAAGGCCCTGGGGTCTCAGACATGCCAGGTAACTCTGTAAAATACCTTGAGGTGTTTTATGTTTTATTTATTTTTTATTTTTTAAATATTTGAGGATTTAAGGGTTAGGGAACTATAAACATTGTCAAGTGACTGAGTTGAGGGCTGTCCCAGGACAGCTCACTGTCCATCTCCCAGATACGTTCAGGAGCACGATGAAGTTGATGGGCCCTGAGGACCCCTTGAGTATGGCATCCACCTTGCCCTTGACATTAGTTCTGTCTGTTGCAAGCATGGGTGGGGGTGAGGTGTTCACTGTGGGGCCACCCCTGCCATCCTCAACCCACTCTGTCCTTGACACCGGTAGGTAACCCCGAGGGACAGCCTACACCTGCCATTCACGGGGTGGCTCCAGCAGAGTGCTGAGCGCTCGTAGCCAAAGGGCAGAGGGGACATAAACTGGAGCCCTCTGGCCCACGTGTGGGGAATACAGGCTGGAGTCAATCGGGTCACTTCAAATCTAAGGACACCATCTTCTGTGGAGGGGAGGGGAGGGGTTGAGGACTTTCTCTGTTCCCAAATATAGGGAAGGTGGACACTGGGGAACCCCCATCCTGGTTTCTAAGGTGGGACCGAAAGCCTCCTGGCCCCCACCTCAGGAGGGTCTCTTGGTAGGCCATTGAGACAGGGACGGTTAAGTACCAGCGGAAGCGGCTTGAAGCAGGTGGGGGAAGAGCTGGCATCTGGCTCTGAGATGATGAGCAGGGCCTACCCACAAGGTAAGCCTAGGTGTAGTGGGGAGGTGTGGGGGAGGGGACAGGGCTGGGTGTGTCACCCGCTGGGTTGTCTCCTCAGTCCCTACCTCAAGCCCACCCTGAACACCCTCTGTCAGGTCTAAACAAACCAGAGCCTTCAGTAGCTGCCCTGAGACCCTGAGACCAAAGTTCTTTGGAGTAACTAAGGAAAACTAAATAAACCTAGAGGTGACCATAACACCCCCAAGTATGTGTGTGTGTGTGTGTGTGTGTGTGTGCGTGCCTGAGCATTTAGGGGCAATGCCCTTATTATACTTGAGGAAGAGATCACACTTACTCAGGGAAGTGTTAGTGTCCTGTAGTCTTCTTTGTCAGTGAAGCTGTCTCTGTTCTTACCCATGAGCATGAAGACCTAGAAGCCAATGCTAGGCTTATCGCACCGCTGGCGGCCCAGCTTTGCCTCAGCTCCTGCCCTCTCCCCCATTAAAGGGACAGGCACTCTGAGGCCACATGCGTCCTCCTGTACCAACTGTGTGGGCCGCTCCCAGGGAGCAAAGACAGACTCCCTTCCTAGAACTTCCAGAACTTGGGTCTGCTCAAAGTTGGAGATGACATTAACAAAGGGTGCTTTCTGGGTATATGGTGCCATTTTCCTTTTTGGTCTTCCTGCTGGCTCGAGAGGCAGGATTCCCAAGGATGAGGGCCTTGGGGCAACTAGGGGGGAACACTCAGGGACAACCCATGATTTGGGAGACAGTTCACACCATGGGGGAACTGTGGCACTGGAGGGTTCAGGCAGCCCACTATGTCTAATCCTGGAGGGCTCTGGAGTAAATGGGCTCAAAAAGGATGGACTCATGCCTGGCATCCAGTTTTCTTTAGTCCCAGACCCCCCCTCCCTCATTCTTTCCAGTTTGTCACCATGGCAACTGTGGGGTCTTTATCTCTAAACCTATACCATTGTGTATGTTCACGTGAGCACACACACACACACACACACACACACACACACACACACACACACACACACATAGACACCCATGTGTAAGTACATGCACACACACCTTTGAATGCCCCTACCCAGCACCTCCCTGGCTGCCTGTTCACCATGTCTGAACCTTTCCTGCTCAGGATCTGCCACGCCCACTGAGCAGCCTATATCCCAGAATGTGGCGAGGGTGTCGGGATTGATGACACAGAGACCAGAAGGCTCCTCAAGAAGGCTCTCTTTTATTCCTACTCTGGCTGGTTATTATATACCCTGACACCAGAGGTGGCAGTGGGTGGGTCTGAAAGAGGCGGTTAGTCTTTGGAAAAGGTCGAGGTCAGGGTGTTCCAGTGGGCGAGCCCTTTTCAGGAACTTATTGCCCTGGGCACTGTATTGTTTTTAGTAAACATTGTCTTACAGCTGCCTACTCCCATGCTGATGGGGAAGGATCCAGCTCCTGTTTGTCTTAAGATGCTGCCTGCCCCCCCCCCCCAGGATAGCTCAGACTTTGGTTGACACTTCCTACGAGGGCAGGTTGAGGACTGCCATCTCAGGTGTTGATATCCTGGCTTCTCCCTCTCCCCAGGTCCTGGGCAACCTGACCCTGTGCCTACTCCCAACTCCTCGCCTTCCCCCTCCCTGTGGTTTCTCCTCAGCACCCACCTGTCACCCTCTCCTCGATCTGTGCCTTCTCCTTAGGGAACCTTTCCTGGTCACGGGGCATCTCTAATCCTCGGGCTCTCTCCCCGCCCCTGGATCGCTCTTCTCCGGGCGACCTTCCCTCGCCTCAGGATCCATCTTCGACAGGTGATCACTCCTCACTGGCAGCTCAAAGACTGTCAGAGGTTGCATGGTTACGTGGTGCATGCGTTAAGTGACTGCGTAAGGACTCTGCATGCAGAGGCCGTGTGGCAGAGTTGGGCCAACGGCAGCTCCTTGACTCCAGTTTCAATGACCTCTGCTGCGGAGCCTCGTTCTAAACTGCTCCTTTTCCCTTTATAAGTATGTTCTCTCTCTTTCCCTTTCTGCTCCCGATCAGTTAACGCCTACCCTCCCTTCGCTCCCTTTGCCAATAAACTCCACGTGGGTTTGTTGAGTTTGGTGGATCGCGTTTCACCGCCTGAAGCTGCAGCAAAGAACACCACCACGGAACTGGACAACTGCTGAGTGAGCCTCCGTAGCCTGGTGGTAACTCAGATACCCCGTCTCTAGCCCAGGTACCAGGAGGTTATTAGTCTGCCGAGGATGCTGCATCTCCGGGGCCTTGTGCCACAGTATTGGCCTAAGGCTGGGGGTCTGAGTCATCCTAGGCAACTGGGCTCTGCCAGTGCAGCAGAAACTACAGGTGGTAGCTGGGCGTTGGTGGCGCACGCCTTTAATCCCAGCACTCGGGAGGCAGAGGCAGGTGGATCTCTGTGAGTTGGAGGCCAGCCTGGTCTACAAAGCGAGTTCCAGCACAACTTCCAAGACAATACAGAGAAACCCTGTCTAGAAAAACCAAAAAAAAAAAAAAAAGAAAGAAAGAAAGAAAGAAACTATAGGTGTTGAGGACAGAGTGCCACCTTTCCAAGGCCAGCAGAGGTGCTGTGAATGGCTCTTGCCCGAGAATTCGTGTTTTGCTTTGTGTGCGTCGGGTCTCACACAGCACTGCTTTTACTTCCTGATTAATTGGCAAATCCAGGGCCCATTCCGATGCCACTGCTGGCAGCCCTGTAGCTGGGTGGTAAGCGAAAACATTTCTGAGTTTGGGAGAGCCTTGAAGATGGTTAGACGGCTTGCAATGGAGCCACTCTTGGCATGGCCCCCGGGCTTCCCCTGACGCCCTCATCTT